TGGAGTTAGGGAGATTTTTAAAGCTGTTGGATTGAATAAGGTCAGAACCRAGAACTTGAAATGGCAGGAAATGTAGAAAGGAAACAATAGGTACAAAAGATAGTAGTGAGATGGAAATCTTTGGAACCTATGTTCTTATTAAATGTGGGTGGTAGGAAGCCATTTACTAAAAGAGAAATTTATAATTGATCTAAGGTTTCTGGCTTAAATTCCCTTCTATTTACTGAGATGAAAATCAGAATGAATTTAAATCAAAAAGTAAATTGGATTTGGGATGTTAAATGTGAGATATTTATAATATCTCCCAGTGCAAATATTTTGTTTTCTATTTGATAAGAGAGGATTTGGGACTTGGTAGTAAATGAAGTCCTGGATTTGAATCAGAATGCCCAGGCATAGAGCCAGATTTCTTTGTTATCCCTATTTTTAAAATCTCCCCCTTGCTTAATGTACATTTCCTCAGAAACCAGGATATCCATGGTCCTTTGAGTCATATTACTGGTCCTTTTAGTCAATTCCAAACCTGAGTCCTCACTGAAAATATGTCTTCTCCACAAAGTCTGCCTTAAAGATCCATAGGACATGTAATATCAAAATATTATTCTCAAAACTAAGCAAAACTTAAAATATCTTTTATTATGTTAAAGCTATATTACCAATCTAATTCAAATATGTTTTTAACCAAATAGAGTCATAGTAGTAGCAGTCAACATTTTTGTTTTTCTAACGTGGAGTTGTTATTTAGTTATCAAATACTATTTATTAGTTTGTGTTCATGAAGATTATATGATAATGTAATAATTTCAGCTTATTGTGGTAGCTTACTTGAAAACTTCCTGTTGGTATTTAACTGAAGATAATTAGTTTAATGTATTTACTTGGTTATCATTATTGGGAACTTTACCTTTTCTCAAACCATAATCTTAAATTACATAGTTCCTGCCTATTCCACCTTCTCCATCCTTTGTCCTGCCTGGTTATTGTCCTTGAGGAGTTGTAAGCATTGTGCTTTAACTTTTCTCCGTTCAGCAGTGTAAACTGGCTTCTTCAGGTTTTCTGGCTTAAACATCCAGTTTTAAGTGTCATAACTGGGCTGCCTCTTGTCTTTAGGAGGCCAGGTAGGGTGTGGAGGTAGAGCTTGGGAGGACTGCAAGGGCTACTGGGCATGACTCCTACAATAGCTTCTACATATCTGCTATTAGAATAGTAATTGCCCTTCATATATGGGTCCTGCATAATTCAAAGGGTGCTCCTAAGTGCTTGTAATTTGTAGACATACTCAGACATTTTTTATGACTGCACCTAAGTATGAAGGAGGAGAAAGATATTGAATTGATTCTTAGAAACATGTCAAAGGAGTGTAGTTAAAAATGCCAATAGTAATCTGGCTAAAGATAATGAAAAATCTGCCTTTCTTTAAAAGAACACTTGATCACAGTGCCTTGTTAAAATTTTTATTTTGTTTTAACAGGTAGCTATTCATTGGGACCTGCAAATATCAACCTCAGTGCCTTTTATAATCATTTCAATGGTGCTCACAAATATCTGAGAACATCTATGAGTTTGAATGTAAATATACAGCTTGAGATACAGTCGAATGTCAATGCAGAAAGTATTCTAAAATAAGGTTAAAACTTTTTAGTTATTTATTGAACAGTGATGTTTTAGTGATAGAGTAGTATTTTGCTTTTTATGTTTTTACAACAAAGAGAAAAGGGTAATTCCTGATGCTTAGATTGTAAACCTTTACAGAAATTCATATGCTGGCAGGTAATACTATTTTCAAATTTTTGATTTCTATTTTAGCATAGCTGTTCTCCCAATTGCTTTGATTATAATTTGTGGAAAGTCTTACCAGAGGGCAAGTGTCTGCATTATTTTCCCCTTGCCCCTGACATTCAGCTCTGATATTCAGCCATTCTTTCAGTTAAAATGAGGAATGCATCGGTGCAATTAGCTTGCCTTCACACGCACAAATGCCTCAGCTCCACATCTAATCATGATTCATGCCTTATGCCAGACTCTTGCAGCCATCCCAGCATCAGCAGATGGTGGGGCTAGACCCCTGGGGCAGCTTGCCCCAGTGTTGCAGGTGGTACATTCTCTGGTAGTAGTGGTCAGAAAAGGAAGGATTTTTTAAACATGGCAAGTTGAGTTGAGTTAGTTTTGACTTCTTGCTTTAAAAAAATTAATGAATGTTAGGTGTTAGATTTTTCAAATGGTAACTTAAAAACTTATTAGTCTAAGATATAAAAGCATATACTGGTAGTGATATGTTATTTTCACACAGATCTCAGGCACTAGAGAGGTGCATGAGATAGTAGCTTTTAATTTTTTATTCAGAACTCATAATTAGAAATACATTTTATATTATATATATATATGTGTGTGTGTATATATATATATATACTTATACACACACACATACATACAGTCACATTTGCATGTGTGTATACATAACAACCCAAAATTTCATTGTTTTAACTTACAGTATGCAGTTATTTTCCTACTTTTTTGTTGTTGGTGGTATTAATTCTCTCTTTTTAAGAAATTGCTGGTAATCATTCACCAAATAAAATTTCAGAGCTCACTAATGAATCGGGATCCACAGTTTGAAAAACGATATACTAAAAGTTGGCACTTACTATAAAAATATATTTTTATGGGCTTTCTGAAATTATCCTATTAAAAATGGTTTTCCTGCTCTTTTGAATCATATTAGCCTCCATTTACTTAACAAGAATTTTGTAGTGTTTTCCATTATTTGTATGTATATCCAAAGATCTAAAGCTACACTTCCTGTTGGTATTTAACTGAAGACAGTTATTTTAATGAAACAAATTTAAATTGAATGCTCTAATGAATATTATCTTTAAACACATACCATTTCTCTTTATTGTTTATAAAGAGTAAATTTATTTCCTTGAACTTTTATTTCCATCATCATTCCTGTTATCTTTTATTTTAATAGACCCTTTTTTCAAAGACAGATACATGAAATAGCTTGGTTTCATAGGCTTTTTAAGGAAAGAAGTTGGAAACCTCCTGACTTTCTGTATCACCAAATAGAATTCTGAATGTTATGGATTTTACTGTTTACTATTTCCTTTCTTTATTAGTGATGGTTAGAATGAGTTATATGAAAAAACTTAGTAGTCATATGGAACTATGTCCACTATCACTCATTCATTCTATATAAAATGATATGAAGTAGGGAGTTTGTTCATTATTATTTCCAACTTTTAAAAATTTATTGCAGTGCTGAAGATTAAACCTAGGGCCTTGGAAAAAAGGGTACACTTGTACATTGCTGGTGGGACTGCAAATTGGTGCGGCCAATTTGGAAAGCAGTATGGAGATTCCTGGGAAAGCTGGGAATGGAACCACCATTTGACCC